AAGTGGTGTGCTGGTGGGGAAATCCTGGGATTAAAAGCCCACACATTTTAAAAAGCTGCCAAGGTTGAGAAACACTGGTTTAGAGTGATGCAAAATAGTTTGTGGATTCCCCCCCCCCTTTTTTAAAAACTTTTTGGAGGATAGTACTGAAAAGCTAGGAAGTACCACTACTTCTTTATGCTTTTATAATGCTGCTGAAAGAATATTCCTGGAAGTGAAACTGCATGGGGATATAACTTTTGGGGGGAAATTGTTGGCTACAGTGGGTAACTTCTTTTCCTTCAAATGTTATTTGAACATTTGCATAGTCCCATTTTGAAAGTGAATGGCAGGAATTCTGCTTTTTAACCTTTCGATGTGGATTTTGCTTTCTCAAAGTTATACAAACAGAAGACACTTTTCATTAAAAGACCTTATTCATCTCATACTTGTAAGTTGCTAAGGTACCCCTTCATCCAAAAGTCAAATCACTTACAGAGACTAAAATGTCCCCCAATTTAGGTTTCTCTTTTATTAAATAATCCTATGAAGGAGATAGCAATGAAAAGCTTTCCACAGCACTATTAAAGTACATCTTTACAATGTAGAAGTTTTCTTCAGTTGCACATTTAGTCAGTTACTTGTATGATTATTTAGGGTGGGGTGGGGGTATGACTTCCTTAATCAATTAGCCTTAGTAATTGTTATTATAGAAAATGCAACTGAATATGTTGAACATTTTAGTTTGGTAACACTGCCTGGAGGTTTGTAAGAGGTACACTTAATGGAGGCTGCATGTGGTTTGGGGGGTACACCTAAAAGCAAAACAGAACTCAACGTGATTGCAATATGACACTAGAAACTCAGGGTTAATAAAGCATATTTTTCTAGGGAGCAAAGATGGTGGAGCTGCAGACAGCACTGGCTGGAAGTGATTTGTATGCAGCGAGGTTTGGCGATTCCATTGCCTGTTTAGGAGACATTGATAATGATGGCTTCGAAGGTATTAATAAGTTTCTTTAAAAATCTGTAGTGTTGTAAAAGGGAAGGGAGGGTGCATTGCTCAGTATTACCTGTGAATGCAGCTATTCTGAACCATGTCTAGAGGTGTATGGAATTATTTTAAGATTGTTGTATTTTGATTCCATGCTGTGCCTAGCAGCAAATATTTATAGCTAATCAATATTGATTAATTAGTTTTAATCTAGCACTTCCTTTAATTGGCAGTAGCTTTTTTGTCTCAAGAAAAAAGATTTTCCAAATTCTTGAATTCATTTTATATGTAACGTTTAGGATGAAGGACGTGGCTGTTATGAATTCTTATAAAAAAAAAAAAATTGGTAGAACGCCTGGATATGGGCTTACACGCAACATCATTTTCCCCTTCATCCTTTTATCTCCCCAAATCCATTGTGGTAGAACTCCAGTGCCCTTAGGGAATATTCAGGGAGCATGGGGACCCACTAAGGAAAGGGAAATCTATTTCAGCAAAGGAATCTGTTTCCCATTGGATTTTACCTGCTTTACTTGGTATAACTTATAGCTGACTTTAAAAAAATGTGTAAGAATGTACAGCAGTTGAAGTTTCCCTGCATTACAGTTTCCCCAAATTATAGACTATTATATTGATCTGTGAGAGCAACTTAATAACTTATCATTTGCTCTATCTCTATCTAAAGTTTTCTGATGTATCTTTCTGAAGTTCTCCAATAGTTAACTACAAGGGAAATAGAATCTAGCTTATTGAAATCTCCCTCTCTAGCCCTGGAGGTTTTGTCCCCTAATACAGATCTGCCTTTCCCTTCTTCTACTCTGTCAAGTCAATTCCTCCATTATCTTGTGATTCTTCTATAAAAAATAAAGGGGGGGGGGCTATACTAGCTTCCTCTCTAATTACATGAATTAGTCATCATTATTTTTCTATTTAAAAAAAGAATCGTAAAATGTAATTAACACATGGATGGTTTCATGTTCCATTGGTTTTTACAGATGTAGCCATTGGGGCTCCACAAGAAAATGATTTAGAAGGTTCAGTTTATATATACAATGGCAGGGAAGATGGAATATCACCAACTTTTTCACAGGTAGGTCTCTTTAACTGTCCCCATGACTACTGTTTTTAATGAATATCCAGCTGTAACAAAGTACATGGCTTAGCTTGTTTGTTTGTTTGTTTAAGTGGGCTCAATTGTCAAGGTCCCCAGTTCAATTTTCCAGTATTTCCAGGCAGGTTTGAAAAATCTCCAGCATGGAGTCCTGGAAGACAATTGCCAATCAGTCCATTGGTCTAGATGAACTAGTATAAATCAGCTACTTATATTCACGTGTTTGTATTAAGCAGAATATATAAGTGGAGAGCAAGCAGGGTAGGGATGCTTTGACAGAATTTCCCCAGTAACTAGATACTGGGTTACAGCTCCAAGTATTAGTAGATTAGGGCAGGAGAAGAGGAAGGGTGGAATGCCTAACAAAGATCTGAGTCATATTGTTCCATCTATTTGGTACTCTTAGTCAGAACCCTTCTGCCTGCTCAGTGTGTTTTGCCGTTTGCTTAACAGCCCTTCCTTCTATCTGTCATTAATGGAAAAAGACCACTACATGTCAGCCTTTTTCTATTAGTAGTAAGTTGCAAAACTGAGTCATAGTATCAGACTTAAAGGTTCACAGGTGGTCCAGCTCAACTGTAGAAGCAAGTTGCTTATGCTAACAATATTTTAAGGAAACAGCACAGAAGTTGTTGTAGAACGGAAATGCATGTCCTGAGGTTCCAAGGCCACCTGTAGATCCTGAAACTCTTTCACATGCCCCCTCCCTGTCCAGAGTTGTTACCAAATTATAATTTTTAATGTGTGACAGAGCAGAAAAAAGACAAAGTAATGTTAGCTATAATTTTAATTATATCCAACATCAATACATTCCCTTAAATGTAGATGGAATAAAATCAATACAACTTTTTTGGGCAGGGTCCCACCCATTACTTTTGAGAATGTGGCCCATTTTGTCTTAGCCTAATGGAAGATCAGGTGTTGCTCTCGGAGTAGCTCAGTGCTTGCTTAATCCTGAGAGGAGTCTAGTAAAGGAAGAAGCATTCTGGGATGTTGAGAGAATCATCATTTAAATTTAGTACTGAATACAAACCCTCCACAATGAGGAAAGGATTATTTATTTTCTGTTATTCTTCAACTGCAAATACAGTGCTTTTTTTTAAAAAAAAAACTACTGTTCCTCATCCCCAAACATTTTTGTTTTAATAATAATTTTTAGAGAATTCAAGGACATCAAATCAGCAATGGTTTACGCATGTTTGGTCAATCCATATCTGGGAGAATTGATGTAGACAGCAATGGGTATTCAGGTGAGTTATGTATTTTGTTTGCTTTAAACCAGCTGGGGAATATTTGTTATTTCTTGCCCATCTCTCTGAGACATAAACCTAAATGAATAAATCAAAATCAGTCTGACCCAAATGATAAAATACAATAGAACTGGCATAAAACACAAATGTTTTAAAAAGCAATTTAAAGACAGCTTGTTTATACGTAAGTGAATTAATATGCACGGTCCCACAGGCATCTATTTAGCACTGAGTCTCATTTAATTAAACAGACCTTTCTAATGCTTTAAAATTGCAGCACTGCTATGCTAAATTCTTTTTCAGACTAACGTACTGGAATTTGGCAACTTGGAAAGAAGAAAATGGAAAAACAGAAACAGACATGTAATTTTATTAGGAAACTTTAGTAGTGGGGTGAGAAGATCAAAACACCTAAAACTGTAATTCTGCCATGTAAGTGCAATATACCTAGTACATGCCACAATGGTCGCACCCGGTGTTCTGAGCATTCAGGTTGCAAAGTGAAATGTTGTTTAAGAGCTGTAAGGCTATTATACCATGTGCACTTGCACGGGAGCATATCTTGTTGGCTCTGATAAAACTTACTCCTGGGTTATTTATTTATCGGAGAAAGGATGTACTGCCAGCTTCAAAAACTCAAGGCAGTTTACAGTTCCACAAAAGAGAAGACTCAAGTATACAAGTGTAAAACTAAGAAGATTCAATTTGTGAACCAATCAGACTTACCATGAGGCACCTTGCCACCATTAGTAATCACATGCCATGTGGAACAAAGTGATCTTTAGCCTCTTCCTAAAAGCCAGTAAGTGGGAAGAATCGCATACCTCAAGAGGCAAGGTATACCAAAGCCAGGGGAAGCTACCAAGAAAGACCATTGTCCTGCCCCCAACCCTTGCCTTCATGTATGGTGGGGTCCCTCTGCCTCCCTTTGCATACACGCTATGGGTCAAGACTGGCTGGGAGAGACAATTCTAGAGGGACCTGGGAGCTAAGCCACATAGGGCTTTTTAGGTTAAAGCCAACACTTTGAATTGGACTCAGAAGAAAATTAGTAGTCAATGCAGCAACTAAAGCATGGCATTTACATTGCTAAACCTCCAATTAGTAGTCAGGCCACCGCATTTTGGAACAGTAATTTCCAAATTATCTTTAAAGGCAGTCCCATGTGGACTGCATTGCAGTAGTCTAAGTTAGGTGCTCAGGGAATGAGTCACACTTTTCAGAACTTCCTGGTCCAAAGAAGTCTTTCAATTAGTGCACCAGCTGAAGCTAGGCAAAGTCTCCCAACTCTATCCTCCACCTGCTTCTCTAGCAGACAACTGCAGGAAGACTCCTAAACAATGGAGCTGCTCCTTTGGGGGAATTGCCCCCCTATCCACAGCCAATGTTGGAGTTGGGATAGAGCCAGATTGATCATGGCTCCATCTTGCAGGGGTTTAATTTGAGCTTGTTTTGACCATACAGGCTCACAGCTGTCCTCACAGCTTCTAGACTTTGGATCAGGGTTTCCACAGTATCCTCATCCAGCCTGGAATAGCAGGGTACAGTATCCTTCATCCCAGACTGACAGCTGACTTCCCCAGTGGTATCATGTAAATGTTAAACTGTATGAGGGAGAGAACCAAGTCTTGTTGCACTCCACAGCAGAGCTCAGCTGTTCATCCCCAAGGCTGGAACCATAAAGGAGGGGGAAACAATGTAACAGGGTGCCTCCAATCTACAACTCTCACTGGTGGGGTCCATTGGGGTTCACTGGTCCAGAAGAATGCCATGAACAATGGTAATTATTAGCATGGTCACATGACATGAGAAACTTGTTAGGTATTGGTGAACAAGGCTTGTTTGCTCAATTGCTCCTTCTCTAGAGCCATGCTGCTTGACAACAATTGCTTAATTTTGTTCATGGCTTACTGCATAATGCAAATTCTGCACTCTAGGAGCTTCTGCCTATCAGCATCACCATAAAGAAGCCTAAAACTAATCACGAGGATGCTCTCTGAACTATTCTCATCAAAGGTTCCTGGCATCTTGTGTTGAAGACATATCTAACAAGCTGATCTGTCACAATGAGTGAATAGCTTCTATGTGCGGGATTTTACTGAGAAGTTATACAGAGAAGACTAAAAAAGAAGAATGAAATGAAATTAAAGAAATCATTATTATATTTATATTCCTGTCTTATTTTGACTCTTAGGAAGTGTGAGGTGAAGATTGGATGTGTTGTACCAGCACAGATGCTAATGACACTGACAAAATTCTTTTCTTCTTGTATAGTGTTAGAGGTAGTTGTAACCCAGTCATGTTTGCAGACAGAACAGGCCTTTCAACAATCCTGGTAAATACTTCCTAGGAAAGCAATGAGAAATAAGGAAGTGGATAAGACACTTGGCATATTTACACAACAACCACAATTTTATATTGTTGTCTTCCAATGCTTCCTCTCAAGCATTGTGGGAAGTGCTTTTTGCTGAGAATATTTTGTTAGAACTTTTTAGTTAACTGAGTGTTCCCTGGTGTGATGCATCAGGCCCCTTCAGGCAACCAGGGGAAGGACAGTGGGGCTGTATGTGCTACACTGCCAAGGGAATAAAGAAGGGAAAATTCTTTCTCTTTGCCCATTGAAGCTAGGGTGTGCTTGAAGGTTCCTTGAATTCTCCAGATGTTCTTGATTGCATATGGAATTCAAAGCAGCAGCAGCACCTGCAAGAGGAGGAGTCAAACTGATAAAAACAGTGTTGTGGCATCATGATGCAAGTCCTGCTCTTTTTCTACATTGGGTGTTGTATTGTCACAGGGGCCCCAAAGAGACGGAGCTCGTGCCATGATGCCACAACGCTGCTTTTCTCATTCTGACAAATCCAGCAAGATCCCACAGATGCCACTGATCCAAAGTACATGAAGAATCTCCTTCAAAGGTTAGAGATGGTTATGCCCAAGTGACCTCTTTCCCTTCCACATATTGGAAAGAAGGCTGCTGAAGCAGGGAGGACTGTAAATTACTATCTTTAAATTTTGACTAGGAGTTTAATTTTTTGCTCTAAATAATTGCTCTTCCAGTTGGGGGGCTCTAAAATTTACTTTCTTCAGTTTCAGATTTCTTGTGGATTTGGAGCAGAAGTAAATAAACTAATTAAAACAATGAAGCCATATTTTGATAAATCTGTTTCAGAAATTCTAATGATAAAACATGTCTTAACATATCAGGATATTCATCTAATTAATAATGTACAAATAGCAATTTAATGCAGTCCAGAGATGAATATGCAATAAAGGAAAAGTGCCTAAGAGATCATTTCTAATGACTCAGTTCTCAACCTATATTGTTCTTGTTTTTCTACAGATGTAGCAGTTGGTGCTTTTTTGTCAGATTCTGCTGTAGTATTGAGGTGGGTCAAGCACATTTTAGGGTGTAGAGACAACTGAACTAAATTTAGCAATATACAGCTGATCTCATCAAACTATTAAACTCTGAACTTAGTCATTAAGCTCCGATGTTAGTACATCACTTAAATACTTAATATGTTGGAGCACTAAGATTTATTTTCCAAGCAATGGGCGCCTCAGGATTTATATATTTCACAGTCATGTCTTGCATCCTAAGATACTGTCATTAGGTGTTCATTACCACTCAGAGAGGGGTTTTGAAGGGAAAAGGAAGTGTGGCATTTCTTCTGCAAACTTTATTGGATTAAAATATTTAACTATACGTAACACAAAACTAAATCAGCTTTCAAAGTAAGTTTGGGTACTCTGATCCATATAGAGATTTTGACTTTCAGAAGTGACCCAATCCTTTCATCCCCATCTATATCTTTCTATAAATTACCTCTGTGAAAGGCAGTGGCATTTTGAGCAAGGATCATGAGCAAGGAAAGAAAAACTCAGCCTCTGGTTTCAGCTCACTACAATTCTGATCTTGTCTGCTTTTAAATAATAACAAAAAGTTAGAAATGCATGCTACATAATTAATATGTCATTTGATCCATTAGAATCTAAATCAATGTGTTTGTCTTTTAAAAAAAAAAAAAGGAATGCCAAGAATTATGAATATTAATAGAGCATCTTGTGATTATGAATTTCCCCTTTTTAGGACAAGGGCTGTAATTATTGTGGAAGCATCATTAAAACACCCCAACTCTGTAAACCGAACCATAGTGGACTGTGTGAGAAATGGACAACCAGCTGTGTGCATTGATCTAATGCTTTGTTTTAACTATAGTAGCCAAACCATACCAGGTTACATAGGTAAGCTGCTTACTTTGTGCTTAGCACTTTCCTAACTTAATATTCAAAAAATTAATGCTGATGGTTAAAAGGAATTTCTTACTAGCTGATCCACAAATCAAAGCTAGTGGTTATCCACTGCTATTTTGCCAGTGGTTTACAACACAGATGAGTGTTCTACATCCTCTAAATTCCCTAAAGGTTGTGCATCAAAAATTGGCAGCATGATTTCCTGCCATTTTCTGTCAGCAAGGGAATAAGGTATGCTAAGTCACCAAAAATAATCCACCTTCAAAAAAAGGGAAACATCCAGCAACAAAAATCTTGGTGGCAGTCATTTCACCTCTGGCTGCAAATTGGTGTTGTAACATTTAGGGGGAAAATGCTCACACTGCAAGAGAGCCCAGGGACAGAGGATCAAAGGATGAGAGTTAAGGGGTTCATTTCTAAAGGACTGGTTTAGGGTGAAGCCTTAGTAGGCTTATAACTCTGGCAGAGGTTAGTGTCTGGCAAGTCACTGGAAGAACATGACCATGCTTGAGGATAGAACCCAGTGATTACAAGGAATTAAGAAAATGGCAGAAACCCAAGTCAATAACACAACACATTGTACCTTCAATATCATCCCCCTTCTTGAGAATTACTTGCTTGTTGTAAGTTTAGAAACAAAACCCTCTGAAATCCTGCATCAAATCTTGATTTCTGACCAGCCTACTGGTCAGAAACAGTGGGGAACAGTGTGTCTCAGATGTCCATGCTTTAGTCCAAAAAATGAATAGTGCAACTTTAAAAAAAAGTACAAGAGTTAATGTGACCTAAGAAGATCATAGAGAGCAAGTTGGGTGTATTGGTTAAAGGCGTTTGGTTAGAGACGAAGAAATTCTGAATTCTGATCTTGCCTTAGGCATGGAGCTAGCTGGGTGACTTTGCACCAGTCGTTCTCTCTCAGCTCTAGGAAGAAAGAAAGGGCAAGCCATTTCCAAAGATGTTGCCAAGAAGACTGCGTGGACTTCTCCAGGCATCACTCAAAGGCATGCATGTGCGCACGCATGCACACACGCCCGCACACAAAATATAATTTGAAAGTAATTTATCCTGGCATAATTAGCCCACAATGTTCCTCCTTAGGGGTTATGATAATAAAAGGAGAGATCTGCTCATAGTCTTGCAGGGTTTTTTTTATGTATGTACTACAGTTCACTTTTGAAACCAGTGTAAAAAGGTTGGTAAGTACATAGTCCTTTATGCAGACTATTGTAGCTTGGTAAATTACAGACTTAGAGCACACTCTGGAGAAAAGCTATATGTTCTCTAAGCAGCATTATATTTGTATGAAGACAGAGAACTATGTCATGCTAAAAGAAAGGCATTGAAGTATCCTCATATATACACATGCACCCAGAGTCACACACCACATTCAGATTACACATTTGATTTGTTTTAAGATTTAAAAATAAAAAGTGACATTCCAGAGTTTGGACAGAAAATCCTGAAAATGTAGAACTGTTTACAACTTACTGCATTGTATATTATATTTTAACATAAGTAGCTCACAGTCAGTTTAATGAATATGGAAATGCTTCTAAAGTTTTTTTTTATAACCCTTTCTCTTACTCCTTTTTTTTTTTTTTAATCTTTACAGTATTGCTTTATAATATAAGCCTGGATATTAGTAGAAGGCCAGATATTGCAGCAAGGTTTTATTTTTCCTCTAATGGAACTTCTGAAACCACCTCTGGAAGTATCCGGATTTATAGCAGCAGCAATCTTACATGCAGAACCCACCAGGCGTTCATGAGGGTAATGTTGCCTTTACTAGACTTACTGGCATGGAAGTGATTAGTGTGTCTAACCTCCTCCTATCAGGTCTGCAGCAAACTCTGACCGTGGTCACCAGCCGAGATGTATTCAAGCCATAAAAATAGACTCTTTTGAGTCTTACATCACAATTTTTGTTTCACATGATTACAAATCGTCTTTCTCCCTCTTCCTGTAACTTTTGAACTTGTATGAAAACATTGGGGTTAAATGAATTTGGTGTCAGGTGTCAACCTTTCACTTTTCAAATCATGCTTTTTCAATACCTGAGAAAATCATTAATAGCTAATTGGTGTAATGAAAATAATGTAGAGCAGATGCAGGGAAAGCCTTGTGGAAAATTAGAATGAATCAAATAACATATGAATTGATCAAAACAAGCTTGTAGGTGAAAATTAAAGCAGGGGACCTGTGGAAGGACAATCAGTGGCTGTTTATCTCCCATACCATGGGAATAATTTAATCAACTTTATTATGATCTGTGATTCTTTATGTAGATTTATTTTCACAAGCAGTTAAACCCAACATAGAAACCTCCATACCTAGGAAAAAGTAAAGGAAATGTACTTATTCCAGCATACAAGGATAGTAATTCCTGTAGCATACAAGTTTCCATATCTTGAATTTAAACCTAAATGTATTGTTTAGTCAGGAATGACATCCATTATGCTCAATGGGACTTACGTCCTAGTAAGGTCAGGATTGCACCATTAATCAAAGAGAGAAATGGAATATCAGCTTCATTGCCGTTTCGAGATCTATGCTAATTCCTCCACTGTCCTCCCTTAGGTACTTTAACATAGGCAGCACTTCCATTTATATTACAGTACAATAAATCTAAGAGACTCAAAACATTTAAATATGACTCAGTCTGGGCTTTATAAGTTGATCAAGTTAAACAGCATGGACCATAGAGGGAAGGGTATCTTTCCTGAGCAAGAAAATCTCACACATTATCTTAAGATACGCGTTATAAGTCATCTTAAGATAGCAATAAAAATTATGCTAAAAACATTCTTAAATATGCAATGTTCAAGCTATTTAGGCTGTATTTTTGCATACACTTGCTTTTGAATAGATTTGCTTAGCAGCATTATAAGGGAGAGTTTAAATCTGGGGTATTAAGAGCATTTGTTTCATATTGGGGGGTTTTTCCCCCCAAGCTGCCCAAAGAACTTGTTTTAAAGGCAGTTGTATGAATGTAGTAAATAACATCAAATGAGTACAATGAATGATGTACAAAGGTCTAGCAGATGCTGAAACACATCCATGAGTATTTTAGCAATTTATTCTTGGGTAACATAATTGGACTGAACTTAATGGTATAAAGGTGTTATCAGCTTTTGGATAAAATAATAAAAACATTGAGGGATCTAAAATATTTCTCAAAAAAAGGGAAATGTGTTTAAATGTGCTAAAAACACTCTCAAGAAGTTTAACTTCTTTTTAACTCAAGAAGTTAAAAAATAACCAAGGGTTAATGCAAGCCTGATCCATTTCTGACTATCCACACTTACCAATAGAAGAGAATATCCATACTTGGGCAGGTTCAGTTGCTCTTAATTATCCTTTGCTTGATTTTGCATGCCGCCATGCAAAACTGTGTGTTATTTCAGGATAAATGTCGGGAAATAGAAATTGCTTATACTGTTGATTGGTGAATTCTGTTTTGCTGGTCAGGAGTGGAGTAATTAGAGCATTTCAGGGTTCCATATAAAAGTGGCAGTACAGAAGAACATGTTCAATAGTTTCAACCTGTCCTGGGTCCCAGGGACATACTTTCTGTACATTCAAGTCAGAAGTGCTGAAGAAGAGCATTGCATCAGGCTAATGCAGTGTTTCTCAACCTTGGCAACTTGAAGATGTATGGGATAACTCCCAGAATTCCCTAGCCAACACTGGGCTAATGTGAAGGCCTTTCTCTTATTTGGAAGTTAAGCTGGGCGAGATATATAGCTGGCACCAGAGTGTATCTCAATCTGTCTGGAAAGCTGAGTGGTATTACCAGCATCTGTTTGACAATATGTTGAACAAACATTGCTTGAGTTTGGCCCTTGCATGCTCATAGCCCAGAGATAGTAAGTAAGTGGGGGAAAGTCCTGGGAGTGAGAGCTTGTGGTAAAATGCTTGTTTCCACCCACTTTGAAATCTGTCCTCTACTGTCAGTGGAACTAAACCTATAGGGGAAAGTGTCAGCTTCAGCCAGTAGTGTAGCACAGCCTGCCATATTCTAGTCTCCTCTCTTACCATTCCAGCCTCCATGCATAGTAATGCCCTGAGGACACAGTGTGGAATGTGGAAAATTATGTGTCCCCTTAATATTTAGATAATGCCACAACAGAAAAGGCTCTTTTTTTCTCTCTCTCACTCAACGTTTAGTAATTTTTATCAAGGTTCTTGTGTGTATGTGTACAGTTTAATATACAGACAGTATCAAACTATTAACCAGATGTGTAGGGAAATTAAAAAGAAGCTCTTTATTCAGACATGGAAAGGCCCCATGGCATTCCTGAAGCATCAGCCTTGATGCTGTCCAAACCTTGATATTAATATTTCAGTTATTAATATGAACCATCTGATTCATATAAAAGAAGAGTATTATTTTCATTTTTATGTAATTCATTTATTTGATTTCATATGCTTAGAAAGATGTAAGGGATATCCGGACTCCTATACATGTTGAAGCCGCCTATCACCTTGGGCACCATGTTTTGAAGAAGAGAAATACTGATGAACTCCAACCACTCCAGCCAGTACTTCAGCAACGGAAGGAGGATAATATTGTACACAGCAAGGTATGTCATGCTGGCTTGGTATTATGGGAGATGAACTCTAACAAGCTGGTGGACACCAGCTGCAACGGGCTACTTTTCTGTTTCAGATCCACCATCATTTTTTACTTCTATGGACTCGGTGGGTAGGAATAAAGGCCTGATTTTTTATAGCATTATCACATATGGAACTATAGAGAGAGCATTTTCTCATGCATAAGGGAGGGAGGGCGAACACATTTGTGCTAAATTCGGTATCTGATAAAACTGTAGGGAGCTTGGATCATGATCTGCTGTTGTGATTCTTCTGTTCTTTTAATGTAATAGAGACACGATAAAGCCCTAGCCTTGTATATACTTCAGATGGTCCTATAAATGTCAGTTGGTAAACCACCTCTATGCATTTTAAGCCAAATGACTAACTTACTGCCTTAATCCACAGGCAGTAGTTCAGACATAAGAATTTTATGTAATTCTTTGGATCAAGGCAAATATTTTTATTTTCTGATACTAACTTTTCCAGTATAAAGGATAGAAAAGCAATTGAATATTTAAAAAAAAACCCTCTAAATTAATACATGCTCTCTAGACAAATACTATTGTGATGAAAGGTCAAAGGGATTTGTTTCTCTATGAAGTTTCCTAGTAGCATCAGACAAAAATGTCAAAGGAGTTATGTTAACCCTAACTTCTGTTCTTGGTTATCACTTTGCTTTGGAAACTATTTCATTTACTAGAAGTATTCTTCTCATCACACACTATTTTGGTAGATCTTGTCATAAAGCAGTGTGATATGGCTGTCCCAGAATCATTGTTTTTAATTATTTTTGTTATAAAATGACAGCAACTGGTTAATGATTTAATTTATTGTTATTGTATTTTTACTCAAGATAGGGGAAATGTTTCTGGGTCTTGCTGGCTCAAGGTCCCAAATTGCTTATTTCTGAGGTTTGGCATCTTTATGTATTTGTGTATGGGAGAGGATTTTGCTGCTTTTTCACTATATGTTCTTACAAGAATAGCCCATATTTGGTGTTGAGGTGTTCAGGCTTCAGCCACACTACAACTATTGAACTATTGGTACACAACTACTTGAACTATTGGTATAGTGACCATACATCCTTTATTATAAAGGACAGTCCTTTATTTCAGAAAGCTGTCCTTTAGAGTTATTTAATTTATTTATTTTCTTGAATAAATAGAAATAGAAAATTCTAGAGTTGAATTTTACTTTGTAAATTTATAAACATTAATCCTTAGGAATCTCTCTCATATTTGCCCCTTTTTCAGGTTTGTCCTGTCTTTTTTTCCAAGAAAATGTGGTCACTATAATTATTGGTTAAGAAAGCTGCCTAGAATGAGGTTACCTTCTGCCTCAGGTAACACAGGTTGGCATGACTGAAGTGTTAGGTGCTAGGTTCATGTAATTTGAAAGGCAGATGATGATGTTTTCTTATTGGTCATTTTGGATTTCATGGTAGAAATATTTTTGAATGTATGCGTGCAAAATTATTCTAAAAAGATTTTGTTCTTGTTGTTCTTTCAAAGTTTGTCTTTGCAAGATTTTGTACTCAAGAAAATTGTTCAGCAAACCTTCAAGTGTCTGGAAAACTTTTATTTCCAAAGTAAGTGCAGTATATTTCATAAGTGGTGAGAGAAACTGAACAAGCTTTATTAACTCAACTCTACCTAAAAAAAATATGTTCATTTTAGAAGGGATGGGATGGAATGCCTGATAGTTTCTCAGGACATAAAGAATCTTGTTGAGAATTGTCTGAGGCTACACAATGGAGTCCCATTGACACAAAGAGAAGTTGAGTAAACATGCAGAGCCTTGGCACTACATGAGATACAGTATATCTAAAATAAATTGTTTGCTTCTCTGACTTAGCATGATATGCAGACTGACTCTTTCCAGTTCAATGTTATGTGTAAACCAGGCCAATCTATCACATTTAACAAATAACGGTTAAAAAATCTGTCTTGATATTATCTATGAATGCAACAGATCCACTGATGTCCATATAGACCCCTGCATTATAATTTAACAAAAGAGTACATTCTTGGAAGCATAGCAACTTCCTAAGATTAAACAATATAAAATATTTTTTATAATCATTCTGCCAGTGGCACAAAATGAGCACTCTGTTTTCCCTTCTTTCAATAAACTTAACGGTTGTTAATATTTTTATACCTTCTTTGTTTTGGGCTCTGCATATTTTCCATGTAGGCAATTGTTCTCAGTTAGTATTAAATCTTAAAACACTAGATTACTTAGTGGCTTTCCATGTATTATTAAATACACAAATACGGACATTGGGAAGGTTCCCCTATTCTAATGGGCAACAGGGTTGGGGAAACCCAGTTCATGCATGGAACCCAGGCTGCTCTTTGGACCTGCCAGTCTTGAAATCAATCAATCAATCAAGAAAAGAAAAGATTATAAAGAAGCGGCTTCTGATCTTTTTGACAGCGGTTATAAATGCATTTATATTTTACCCTCTCTAAGGTTATATCATAATTCCCTTCTTTCCATAAGCTACCTTTCTAATCTTCAAACCCATAAATTTTTCTCTTTTTCAGCAAAAAGTCCATAAGGGGTTTCCAGTCACTGATAAATGTAGTTGCTGATCTCTCTCTAATCAAACAAGTTAATTTTGCCATCTCTGCTAGTTCTGTCATCTTCACCAACCATTCCTTCGTTGTGGGTATGTTTCCAGTCACTGATAAATGTAGTTGCTGATCTCTCTCTAATCAAACAAGTTAATTTTGCCATCTCTGCTAGTTCTGTCATCTTCACCAACCATTCCTTCGTTGTGGGTATTTCAGAGTCTTTCCATTTTTGTGTATATAATAGTCTCGCAGGCCAGTCTTACCTTCCTTGAGGAGAATAAATAGATATGTGGGCTTAAATGACATCACCTGCAAACCTAGTTAACATAAACAAGCAGTATTTATTTTCTCAATCGTGGTGCATAAATAAAAAGGGACAATAATTGTTTTTTACATTCAGGCAGAAGTTCTGTAGTGCAAAATGCTTTTACTGGTTACAAAGACTAGATTTTTTAAATTACCCTTCTATAAATACCAGGTTTCATGATCTGTTCTTCTATTTCCTGAATTTGCTTGGCCTATCAATCCCTTCTTTTCAGGGTTGAATTAATCTTTTTTACCCCTTAGGAAACAAATGAACAAACAAACCCCTAGCTTAGAAATATTTCTCTCTCCGAATGCCGGTCCTACTCATTTCTGTTTCTGCACTTTCTAAAGTGTGGTTCTTTCAGGGTCATAGCCAACTTGTAAAATTCTGCATTATGTCAAAATAACTCATTTTAAGCCTTCCTTAGAAACTGACAGTCATTCAGCTACTACTGTTCCTCCTTTTCCCTTCTCTCCAGGGTAGTGTTTTCTATAGAGAGTGAGTTGCAGCCTCTCTATGCCCTTCCAAATCATCAAGGAAGTCATAGGGGTTTGGTCTGCTTTAAAGAGTTCTGTTTCATCTCCGAAATCTCCCGGGACTTTCAAAATCAGTTCAATTTGGGATTCATCAAATTCTCCTGGGTATCCTAGTTCTTAGAGTTGGGATAGAATAGGTTGAAGATAAAAAGCATTAGCCCTTTTTATTAATTAAATAGTGCCAATCCTACTGTAAGAGTGAGAGATCAATTTGTTTAAATATGTAAGGCAGAGAGGGAGGCTTAACTTTTAGGGCAAAATGGTTGGGGAGGGGAACAGAGATCTCCCTGCGTTTACTGTTTATACTTCCATGCCTCTTCCTGCTCTGAAGATGTTTCCAATATAGGAAAACTATAAGAAATTTGTTTTTTAACCATGTCGTCTTTTGCTGTTAAAGGAAAAGCCCCCAACTTGAATTGTGGCAGGCAGAGGTGTAAACAAATGGGATTGGTGCTATCACATCTAGTTTTGCTTCCACAAAGTGTGAAACACCAATTTATTTTCTCCGGACACTTATTCTTTATCTGTGAACAGTACTTTTCTTAAGGCTACTAGCTTCCATTCTAATAATCAGGAGTCTGGTGGCACCTTTTCTGACTAACAAATGTTATTAGGAGGCATAAGCTTTTGCAAGCTGTTGCTCACTTCATTAGATGCTACCCGATTTCTTCTGACTTTTTGCCATAGGCTAACACAGCTCTCCTCCAGTCATTCTACTAAGAAAGTCAGGTAACAATATTTATGGTTTACTTTACTGTACTCTTGTGCCTTATCTGCCCATACACTTTCTAGATGAGTTTAATCAGGTAATTTAGTTTGAGATGACACATACATGTTTGACATGAATTGTGTGCACTGGATTAAAGGAAGAACAAGAAATTCTGAGTAAGATGAGCAACTTTAGCCTTCTTACATTCTCTCTCACATCCTTAGATGTATACCTGTTAATTTGTTTTATGGATGCCTATAATCCACACTGGGCATCTCCTCCCCCTTCACATCACCCTGCTAACAAAGCAAAATGCCATAATGTAGAAAGCAGGAAAGGAAAGAATATCAATTATTTAAATTTAAAGAAACTTTCAAGCAAACCATTAACTAGAGATCCAGCCACTGAAATATTAGCATATGCATTTCTTACTTTCATTTGAAACTTACTGCTTATGTAGTACTTTTACCTTCTGTTGCCTGTCTAAGTGCCAACTTTTCTCCCCAAGGTATTAAATGACTAATGTATTGGTCTCAAGCCAGAATGTTTGATAAATGCCTATTTCAAGACAGCTCTTCTGCAAGTCTTAATTAAAGTTTAATGTCAAACTGAAGTTTACTTTCAAATCCTCTTAGGTGTTTTTTTTTTTTTTCCGCTTGTTAACATGATTAGAGAACACTGGGTGGAACATAAGATAGACATGTTCACTCATGTGCACAAGTCCTGTCTTTCATTAACCTTGACTGAGAGTGAAATGACAGGCACTCTTGTACAGCATAAGATAATATATCAGCTGCATTAAACAAAGGCACATTTGGCCAACAGTGATAGTGGAAGTAGCAGACATAGAAGGCATGTATTGTTAATTATAGGGAACTGAGCAATTCCAGTTAGGCAGAGTAAAACAAATTTTCAAGAAATGATAAAGAACTAAAGAGTCACTGTTTGAGCAGAGGCCGAAGGCAAATAAAAGTTTGTCATAGTGTTGATATGTGATCACTGGTCATCTGATATTACCTTGATCAAGAGGTAAGGAAAATTATACCATGCACATTCCTTATCAATTGGGGAATGGTAAAATTCTCCATTTAACAGGAAAATAAATAATAGTTGTATGCCTATCTGCTTCGAATATGTGGTAAAATATTTCTCATTCTTTGGTAGGAGGACAGAAGCAACTACTCTGTCCTGCAAAGAGATCATCCTCACTCTTAGAATAGAGACTGAATTTAGATGCACATTTTTTTCAGGCCAAAGGCCATCCTCCAGAAACTAGATAAAGCTAGTACAGGATAAAAGCTGAACTGGATTTGATCTGAGTTTAATTAAAATGTATTTACGTTAAGTACAGTTAATATGAATATTCCCAGTGTATTTTTTTCTTTTTTGTTGCATTGACATTTACAGTTTATTGACATTTGCTGGAAATTCAGTAGAAGCCACACAGAGGTCTTTGGGAGATACAGCATGTGCACTCCTGATATGGATGAAAAAAAATTGGTTATAACAATTTTATTTGGTCCTTCATCCAGACAGCTCAAAATATCACACAGGGATTTTCCTTTCACCCACAGAAACACATTTGATGCTATTCTGAAGTCCATGAAGCTAGTTAGTTCTTGTGCTCCTCTGTTACATAATATTTGGTTGAAGCACCTAAATCCACAGGACATGGTTAATATTTCCACACATCACTGGACTATCCTGGAACGAGATTCACCCTGAAGTGAGATTTTTACCCTTTAACATGGTCTTAAACAACTAGCTTACCAAGTGGTCAGACATATCCACTTGGTAAATTATCACTAGACAGTTGGCTGCTTCTCTTCATTCTGAGATCGAGAGAGGCTAAATCAGCTTATAGGAATTCATTTGAAAAATACAAATACGGGGAGTATACTATGATTACCCACAGACAGTGTCAACTTAGTTTTATGTCAAAGATGTATTTCGCAAATGATTCGTTTCCAAAATTATAGCATAGTTAAGAACAAATTCCATTTCTTTTTGTGGAAGGATGCACATATTTGATTTTGAAGTGGTAAGCCAGGTCTGAACTTCTAACAGTTAGGAAGCAGGACAGAAGAGGAAATCTAAAATTAAATATGATGTTTCCCCTTCTGTTGCAGTTCACTTGCAATCTGAGGAGGTGTTCTAGGAGTTGTACCCAGGTTTTGGAGTCATATGAAACCTTTTTGTATGCTTATAGGCTAAACAAGGTGGTAATTTCTTTTGTACTTGAAAAACTTGTGGTTTAAATTATGCCAAATTAAAATTATATATATTCTTATTCATTTTGTATAGGCCTTATGAAAAGAAATCTTTCCTTTCAGTGGGAAATGTAAAAATGGTGATGTTGAATGTCACCTTGTACAATGCTGGTGATGATGCTTATCAGACTAGCCTTCATATCCAGCTGCCTAAAGGTCTCCATTTCACCAAACTTCTGGCACAGGTAAGAAACGTATCTTCTATCTTTCTCTAAAATAATTTGCAAGATACTTTGTCATTCATTGGACTGGGGAAAAAAAAAGCAAAGTTTCATTTTAAAACATTTGAAACTTAATTCACAAGACATACTGAAATAAAGCAGTGCAACTGATTTAAACAAATGCACAGATTTATAGTCATTCTTCCAGACTATTTGGTCCACGCAATATTAGTCACTGAATAAGAGAAAAACATGAATAGATAAAAACAAGAAGTTTTCTTTTTTGTTCCATAGAAATCAGTGGGGTTTACTGTATGTCAAGGATTATATAATAAAACAGTTTTATAAATGGGTGAAAATTAAATATATTTAATTATAATGGCAAATTTCCAAGCATTATTGATGAAGCGCAAGCAAGCTATATGCCAAATACCACTTTTTCCCCAAGAGAGAAAGGTTAAAAACAGAATTTTAATATTATTAAAAATTAGATGTTTTATTTAGGCCTATAAATTGTCTCCTCTGTGTGGCCAGTGACACCTGAAGCAACGCAAAGTAATTTACTCTGTGTTAAATGTAAGGATTTCAAACAGCTTCCAATTCACTTTAAAAAAATTGAATTAAGTTCATAGGGTGTGGCAGCTAGCAGGATGCATCACCACCATCACCCCACATGGAAATCACTTTTGTTCGACCATGCTACAGACTATGATCATGCATGCAATAACATAATTTGCCTTCTTTATTGTGGTTTCTTGTATCTTTCCTTTCTCTTTTTCTCTTTCCAAAAGAACAATCTCACACTGACTTCATAAATAATAACTCCTCTTTAGAATGTGAAAGATTTCAAACTTTTCAGTAGGTATGATATAACTTGGAAAAATAGAATTCACCCTTTTCCCTTTGGATAAGCCTAATAAAATGCTTCTGTAAAAACCTGATGTTTACATTGGAGTGACTGATTCTTTCAGATTTTTATTAGTGGTAGCGTTGGTGTTGGCCTCCAAAGATCACAAATAATATGGTGATGATTACTACCATAGAAGTTCTGGGTAAATTTTTCCTGTTTTGTTGTTTTATTTAATCTTCCAAATATCTTTGTATTTCTGTGTAAAGAGCAACTGGGGTGTAGGATTTTGATTTGGAGCAGTGGGACTCCTGCTAACTTTTTCTCCCTAAATCATTTTATGATTTTTTTCCCCCTTCAAAACTGCTATTTTCTTTTTTTTGGGGGGGGGAGATATACAGGTACTTTTCTAGCAAAGCAAACCCTTTGAGAGAATAGGGAGAAATTTTCATCAGGAAAGCAGCAACACAGGAAAAGGTTAGACATAGATCCCTGGCTTCAATCTCCAGGTTAGAAGGTGCAAGACCTCCTTATAACCAAAGTATCACAGAACATCTAGATAGAGATTTTTGTTGCCTTGTCAGTTTGAAAATATATATTTTTTTTTTGCAAAACTTTCACCTTCTTCTGCCTGCTGCTTTCCTTATATAGTGTTCATTTTTATTATAGGAAGAAACACAGATACATTTTCAAATATCAGAAAAGGAAAGTCATGGAGTGAGAATTAACTGTAATGTTGGATATTTATATGTTGATCACCTTTCAAAGGTAAGAATAATGATCAAATGTGACTTCATTATATAGACTACACCCTTCATTGTTATCATATCCTTTATACTAAGGAACTGTGGTGGATAGCTTCAAATGCATGTTTTTCTTACCAAAGTATTATTAATTATTAACAAAAAAGAGATGGTGTCCATATGCATTTTGTAGTATCGCTAATCTCCAATGATAATTATTGGTAAACAGATTAAAAAAATAGGTCAGATTAAAATGTCAAATTGCACCATTTCTTAAGTATGAGGATGGCAGTGTGACATATGGTAGCACTTTGGGGATTGTTTGCTGTAGCGTCTGCACACGTTCAGTGAAATTTTTGGAAATGCATGTAACCATAAAAATGGAGCAGAACTGTCAACAAACAAGGCTAGGGGGTACATCTGTAAAGACAGAAGTCCTAAAATGCTTAGTAGTTAAATTCTGTTAAGTCACAGGTTCACATGTTGAGGACTGGGTTGATCATTAACCTATATGCTGCCTTGATGACTCACATAGACTTCAATAATATAATTACGACTGATGTTACTAAATGCAATACATTATATACATTCTGATAGAATACAGATGGATTAATGTAAGCTGACAATTTTTCATTTTTTCAGGTGGATATTAGCTTTGTGTTGGATGCAAGTTCACTCAGCAGAGCAGAAGATGACTTACACATCAGCATTAATGCAACTTGGTAAATGTTGCTTACTACAGGTTGCTGCCTTAGACTTATATTTGAAACAACAAAGAACTACAGAAAAATATACATTTCATAATCTGCAGAAGTTCCAGAAATCATGTATTGTGGGCACAATCTTTCTGTTGGGGTTTGGAAAAATAGGCTATGGATACCATCCACAAATGGGCAAAACTTCTGTACTGAATTGATAGAACAAAATGTGCTTGTTTGCATTTGTTTGGACCATGCTATCTAATGCCAAATGTACTGTGTAAGAAAGATAACCAAACAAGACCTAGGCACATATGCATTGTGATGGTTTGTAATATTTCTGTCCTCCTTTAGTGAAAATGAACTAGACCATGACCTGCTATCAGATAACAGCCTAGTTTTAACTTTGGCTCAGAAACACGAGGTTGAGCTGAACATTTATGGGTAAGCTAATGCATTTGCAAATCTGTATAGAGCTGTAGCAAAGCAACATTCAGAGGTCTGCTGATTTCTCAGCATTTTGAGCCTGTGGATCTTCTTGTTTATTCTTTTAATTGCTCGCCTTTTGCTCATTTTTATGGAAAGGCAGTATAAAAGCTTCACAAATGCTGTTTTAACAGGATAATTGGATAAATTCAGCATTGGTGCTTTGAACCTTATGAAGAGACTTAATGTAGTCCTTATGTGTTATAAAGATGGATAGCTGAGATTTGACTTACGAAAGCCTCAATTTCTGAAAAAATTAAAGTACACAGTAGCTGTGATCCTAATACAGCTTTATTAATGAATTAAACAGTTTTAAAATTTATTTGTATAAATTTAATTGCAATACATACATAGGAATATGGATGATAGTATAAAACTGAATTAAAGAATAGAAAGATTTCAGCATTTTTTTTTTAAAGGTGGCATATAGTTGGTAGAGGGTATGCTTTTGTAATTTACAAGGTGCCAGGATTCTTCAGCTAGGGCTAGAAAATACCCTTATTTCAAATGCTGCAGAGATAACTACAGTGTTGACTATGCTCACCTAGGTGGAGCAGTCTTCCCAAGAGAGGTGAGTTCTATTTTGATTCTCACTCCACCAGGACAGTCAGTTCCAGCAGATCAGACTCATGTCCCATCTGCACCTGTATCCCCTCCTGCACCTCTCAGAACTGCTCTGGAAGGTCAAGATCAGGTTTAGAGACCACCCAGGAAAGCAGGAGGAAGGACAACGAAAATTCCAGTTATGGGAGTTTTACTGGATGTAACCAAGTTTTTAGATCTGTATAGTAAATAGTAGCCAAGGAAGATAACATCATATGATTGATTCCAATTTAATCAATATTTTTTCCCTAACATTTATTTTGAAAAACATTATTTGTAGGTCTGTGTCTCCAGCATCATTTATTTATGGACCCAGTGAAGAAAATTCACCAGTTTCTTGCATGAAGGAGACAATCAACTTCACTTTCTATGTATGAATATTATTCTCTATTCTCTCTGCCTTTTGGAAAAATGAATTAAATGAAATTAAACTAGAAATTTTTTTAAAATGCTTTCCCATGGCTTAGGGTGGATTTGAATCTAGGTCTCCCCAGTCCAAGTCCAACAATTAACCCTCTACAAATCTCTGCATTCTTGGCCACTGAAGCTCTGCCCACACTGATCACTCTCTAGAACATTATTCATTTAATGTTACCTATTATGTCACAGCTACTCTCTAAGTTTTCACAATAAAGGATATCACCTGACAGTTTTTGAATTACAAGTACCATTGTGAATAGCTGCATTTATTATAATTTAAATATCCCTTTTTAAAATGGATGTTTAAATTTTTCTCCTTATATTCATTGTTTCAACTAGACTTTCTTGTTGGAGGAATGGCAAAGAGTTATTTTTGTATGTTCTACTATAGTTTTAATTATGCAAATGTTTGCTTTTCCTGTAGTCTTGCCATACCCTTTATATATCTTGAAATATGCAATGTATGCTTTGGACGCGTACCCGCAAATGTTAAAATATGCAGACTTTTTAGTTTGCAGTATAGTGGAACATCAGGAACTATGTGTTCAGAATTCAAAATTTTGAAGTGAAGGTTTTTTGATATTCCAATCATTTTAAGTTTTGAATGGGGGAAGGTGATAGTGTGTAATAGTTTTGATCCCAATTCAAATAAAGCACAAATTCAACTCTGGCCTTCTTTACACCAAAGGTCAGTAATCCTGGAGTAAGTCTGGCTCCTGATGTAAATCTGCTGATACAGATACCCAATTCTTTTGCACCAAGAGATATCAAGCTGTTTAATGTACTGGATGTCAAGGTATGCTTAATTTATTTTCTGAATTTGGAGGATGAAGTGTGATACAGCATAACAAATTATTCAGTTGCTAACTTCCTACATAAATCTGCAAACTTTATGAATGTCTGTGATATGCCGTCTTTGATGTTTATGGTTTAATAGGGCATGAGGAAGACCAAACCAGCAATGCTGTTGATGAAAAAAGGGGTAAAGCAGATAAGGAAAAGTATGCTATAACAGATTAAGACAGGCAAAGGAGGACTTAAGGATCTTTGTTTATTGACTTTGACTGAAAATCAGCAGAAAATACTAGGAAAATATAAGAATAGGTAAATAATTGATTTTCAAGCTAGAAGGGGCAGCAGCATCCACAAGGGGATCACAGTCTACAAGAGAGCGGGTGTGATGCAAGACCCACTCCTTTTGTACATGCCTCAGGGTCACACAGATGTGCAAAAAGGGCAGGTCTTGTATCATGATATTGTACCTGTCATCTTGCAGATTTTGACACACATCCTGCAGATACTCCTGAGCAGGGGTCTACCTCAAGATTGCTGCTGCTTGCCCAAAACGTTTGTGGTTCCCTCATGTCCAGATTTACACTGTAATTGGCATCTTGTCTTTGAGGTGTCTTGTTCAAGATCAGCAGAATGGTTGTAATATGGAAGTAATAAGTAATTAGTGCTGCTCCACTTCCATAGAAAGGGAGGGAGGGTTAGGTAGGGATGTTCAAAACTTTTCAAACATGAGTAAGTTCCAAGTAGTTGTTTTGAGTTCTAAACAGCTGGTTTGCATTGCTTCAATCACTTTGGAAGTGTTCTGAGGCCAAGACAACTCTGTTTCACACTCAAAATACTCTCAGCCTGAGTGACACACCTGTTCCTCCAAACTCAGAGCAGTGTATTTGGAATTTGAAACTTTCCCCATGCCTAGTATTAGGAGAAAAGACTCAGTGACGTTGCATCAACAATAAAATGCCAAGGAGACTGCAGTCAGTCATACAATATTTGGGATTCTTTTCTGCCACATAGGGTCATCTTTTTCCAATATGGGCATGAAGACTTACATGTGATAGGCACTGTGAGTCCTTATGAATTATGTTTGTGAGCACTGCATGCTGGTGCTTTCCTACCCTAAGATATCCCTTAGGAAACCTTAATAAGGGCTGCAGATGTCCTACTTATAAAACTAGACCCTTTTTCTTCACGCCACTGACTCCCTTGCCCCAGCGTATTTAAAGACATGGATTAAAGTATGGGTCAAATTTAGATAGTATTAAAGCTTAGATACAAGCTTGCTCTTCCCACTATTACCTGCATTTGTTCTGTTTTAGCTAACAATGTTCTATTAAAACAGGGTAACTTTTTACTGAGCTGATTTGTTTATGATGTTACATGCAATGTCAACACATTTCTTTAGTATCAAAATGCAATACAGTTGTGGTTTTGTTCATTTGCAGACCACTGATGGACAATGCACCTACGAAAATCATAGGAGAGACTGTAATTTACCAGAAAAGAATGGAAATATGCTGCAAGATCTTATTACGTTCCTTACAAAACTTGACAATAGGCCACTGGTAATTTCTCTATTTTTTTTTCACTGATTTGTTAAAGCTGTAATGTCATCCTCTTGCACATTTCTGCATTATAAGCAGAGTTTTCAGAACCACAGAACTGCTTGATTATGCTTTCATAAGTTAATGTATGCCTCATTTCATTCTTAAGCTATCTGGGGACAAGTCACATTAAACTCAAGTGCATTTATTTCTCAAAAGACATAGGCAGCATTGTGCTGTCAGGAACTCAACAGTTGGAAATAAACTTAGGTAGACGTAAGGCAAAGGACAGCAATGCTTGTTAAGGCTTCAGTACTGTTACAATTTGAAAGCTTAATGGCACATATTCAAAACAGCTGACAAATGAGAACCAGTGTCTCCTCCTGAAGGTGTTTCCTGACATGAATTAGAAATACATTACTATCAAGGCTTTACAGCATCTAATGCTTACATGTGGGGCTTTTCCAGAAATCCAGATTAATGTGCTGTCTTCCAGACAGGAGTTGGCGCAAAGTAGCTCAGTATACACACGTTCTATTGGCCCAGACAATCTCATCTCAGTGTCCTTAATGAGATTGAGTGGTGTTGTCCTAAGAGTTTACTGCAAGACAAGTTAATGTGCAGGGTTGCAACACCAACCACCTGTTGCTCCCCCTGACATGGCCTGGGGCAAAGGCTGTAGCAGTGAGTTTAGTGATCTGTCAGAGGCCTATCAGCTGTGGGGGAGAGTCCTGCCTTACTGGGAAGCAGCCTGTAGTCACCCCCTGGATCTCTTGCACGCCTGATCCATCACAGTCACCCATCCACAGCTGTCGGGCACTGCAGGTGGCTAGGGGCTTCTGCATACCTGCACTGTTTGCAGCAAAACAAAGCAAAGCAAACAATGTACTGAGAAGGGTGGTCAGACAGCGTGCTGAGTGTGGGGCAGTGCCTTGCCTGTCTGCCTCCTACAGCACTTGAACCACGAACTGGAGCGAACCATGATGCTGAATTCCTAGATTACTCATGCAACCTGTCAACACCCTGAAGCAGGAGCAATCTCTCCCTGCCTATCCTGCTGACCCAAAATCCCTATCTTTTGGTAGGTAGTTATAATAGTATGTGAGAATGACCTTGGGAGACAGGGCAAAGAGATACAACCAAGGGAGCAGTCAGATAAAAGGCAGATTAGCCCACAACAGGTACGTGGATGGGGCAAGAGGCTCAGAAGGGACCCTCCCTAGCTTTTGGGCTGTAAAGGGGACTGCGAGGGGTGGGGGGAGTACTTTCAGACTTGCAAGACTCTGTTAATGTAACCTTACAGTAAAGTAGAATTAGCTCATCTGGTCATGTTTCCTGTCTGGTCTACCTCGTAAGGCTGACTAGTGGAGATG